AACCGAAGCATTCCTTTCTTGATGTTTATTATTTTTTAAAGCCGATTACAAAATACGGGGAGGAACCCTCAAAAATGGAGGAAGAAACCTCTTTTTACATTAATGTTTTTTTTTATATTTATGATACACAATAACGAACCGATTTTAATGGTTCTTTTTTTAAATGAACAAGTTATACCTCAAGTGTGGTCCAATTTAAATTTAAAGGAAAATTCCTTCCCTAATGCTGGCAAAATAGGGGCTGATGTATTAATGTAACTGTTTAGGCGACATTCTAGTTGTTACCTTGAGATTATGATATTCTTTAGTCTACTAATCCATCAACCAATTATAATAAACCAGTTCAATGCTGGATGTAATCTCCTTGATGTAAATGGTGTTTTGACATAATTGTTTCGCTTGGCAGATGAATAGCGATCTCAGGACGAGTTGTCCGCCACATAACACTATTACCCTTCATATGTGTTACACATCTGACATATACATATACAAGATGGTTATAGCATAACTGAGAGATAAATGAAACATTTGTCCGCCACGCTGCTCCAATGCGTGTAGGCGAATTTCACGTATCCTCTAAATACTATTTGTTCATTATAGCCTACATAAAGTTCATAAAGTCCACATCTGTACACAGGCCTCCCCTATAGATTTCCTCACATGGAATATTTGCCATAATTGCCACGTTTTGCAACCGCATTTTTTTATTATTTTGAATTGTCATCAAGAAGATGCTGCTGTCCATCTCATCTCATACTATACCATTTTTTTAATACTAGTAATGTTATTAACATTACTAACATTCCCTTTAACCACTCCTGGTAAGCTTAAAATTCTTGTGTTAGGAGTGGTCCACGACATTAGTTGAATGGCAGATTCGAACTCACGACCTTTTGAGTGCGCGGTCCGCACCCTACCATTAGGCTACAGTGTAGAGTGAAACTTTCGTATAATCGCTTAAATTTATATATATTATATATCCTTAGTAAATTAATAATAATTTACTAAGGAGGCAGTTCTCTTTCTGCCTAGAACCGCTTTCGTTGGTACCGTCATTTTCCTATTTCTTTCGCCAAACAGTGCAATCACTGCTGTGATCCGGTTTCAATGGAAAAAGAGTCATGAACGTAGCAACAAAAATTTAAAACACTGGAAAAATAATTTTCATTGGGTGATTAATATAAGCATGGATTTAAGTAGTCATCGTTTAAGTGTAGAATTTCTAAATATTGTAAAAAGGAGCCGTGTAAAGAGTATAATATAAATGTAGTAAAAATAGTAAAAATTAAGTACATAATATAACCCGTACTTTCAGCTGTAGGTACATTATTAGGTATCTATGCAGCTAATTTTTGCACTTAAAATACCTATACCTACTTTTCAACAAATGGCAATAATTGACTGCTGATATATACTATTATACAATAGACAAAAACTGCGCATTATTCAAAAAAATATCAATCGTTTTTATATTCTAACTATTACGATAAAAATAAGTATAACAATATTAAACAATAAGATATAATATCATTAACTAATTGTATTAAAAACATCTACTTAACATAATGGAAATTTGGGTAATTGAATTCAAACAATACCTTTCATTACTGTTACACTTTTTAAACACAATGTGAGTAACACTTACCAGAAATTTAGTCAGTTGTTATTTTAAACTGAACACTTTAAGACAACAATTATAATCGCTGTATTATTAGACATAATGAAAAGCCGAATCACTTTCAGGGCGTTCTGTTCCTTCACTTTGAACTGTTTTTACTTTTAGCGAAATAACATCCCAACGTCTTACGCACAGCAGAAACGCGAAGTATCTCGCGAAAGTATAGCGGTGCCCGCTGCAAATCAAAATTCACTTGCAAAGTTAATTATGTTTTGTTGTATTTTATTACAGTTCGTACTTTTAACGCGAAGTGCGCGAATTACTTCGCGACGTGTACGAAGAGCGAAGCGCGTCAAGCGTGTGAAAATGAAGAACTGACAAAAGAGTATTGTGGTATCAGTACAGTATGTTACATCTCCAGTATCGTGCGCTGCCTACACGCAGTGCAGTCGATTGAATCGATTTACTATTATAATATTTTACGAAAGCATATCTTCTATGGTATCTATGATCACCATAGCGGCGATCTAACGTTAATGGATCATTGCGATTTGTTACGTTATTTAAGCATAATGCTTCCTCTACACTACTCGCGAAGTAGATCGAAGTTGGACGAGGCGAATAGTGTAGAGAGGTACTTCGATTCACTTCGTCCAACCTCGCTTCGCCTCGGGCGACTTCCGATCGCTGTCGGTTTTTTGTGCCAGAGTCAAAGGGCTTCGCGAAGTACCTCGAAGTGACACGAAGCGTCTCACTACACTACTCGGCATACGTCCATTAGCGCTTTTACGCCGTACTGTTCACACGTGGGTGCGCGCGCATAAAATTATAATGACTGCGACCTGGTCACAGGAACAAGTCCTTTTCTTCTTGGAAACACTACAATCAGAGCGAGTTATTTGGGACCCAACTGACAGAGGACATAAAGACAGAAAAAAAATCAACGATGCTTGGGTGCGCATTCAAGGAATTTTCAATATGCCTATCCTAGAACTGAAAAAAAAGAAAGAATCTCTTTTTGCCACCTACAGGGGCTATTGCAGAAAAAAACAAGATTCACTTAAATCCGGTGCCGGCGTGGATGATATTTATCTTCCAGTATGGTTTGCATTTGAACATATGGATAATTTTTTGGGACCAGTATTTAAATGTAAACAAACAATGACAACGGTGAGTTTTTATTATTTAATTAGTGAGTAGGTTAAAAATTAATTCATTTCAATGCATGCTAATGTAAAGTAAATGCACACCTGTTTCACGGCATTATTCAAATACGAGTATATTATGAAAATGTATTTTATTTCCATATTTCATGAATTCCAACAACAGATAGGCAAGATTTCTCCAAAGTATATGAATGGTGTTGTTACTGTTTATTTTTTTACATTTGTATGCATTGTATGATTTTCATTACATTTAGTAATAAATTTTAACCGACTTCAAAACGGAGGAGGTATGCAACTCGAGTGTGTTTGTTTTGTATGTATGTTACTTACGCGATATCTTCGCAGATTGTTACACAATTTCGATAATTGTTTTTTTATTAAATAGGCCCAAAGGGTAGAAAATAAATAACTTTGTTTTTAGCGATTTGAATTCGGTTTTTACTTTTTGTCAAAAGTTTATAACTTTTATTAACAAACAAAAACGGGACAAAAAAAGTCTTTTATTGACCAAACAATCTTTATTAGGCTTTTTACATAATTAATAGTATTTATATGCCGGATTTCCATATCCAAGGATTTAATAAGCATACAATAATTAATTATTTCTAAAAAGATACTCCGCAAAATGATCTCTTATCTGAGTGGCAGATAATGTTGATCTGCGTGGTATTTGTGCAATATTTCTCAAAGCACAGTTTTTATCAACGTTCTGCCGCCAAGTTCCAGGTTGAAGTAATACTCCGTTTTCATCATATGTGTCCACAATACCGGGTGGCATATAAATATGAGATGAATTATTACTTTTTCTGAGAAAGTTGTGCAATAAGAGACAAGTCATTATAATAATAGGAACGGTGTCGATATTTATATCAATTGGCTTTTTGAATATTCTAAACCTGTTTGCTAAAATACCAAAAACATTCTCAACTACAACCCGAGACCTTGACAAGCGTGTATTAAAAATTCGTTTAGGCGAACCAATATTATGAGTACCAGGATATGGTTTCATTATATTATTATGCAAAGCAAATGCTCCGTCAGCCAAAAACACGTAGGGAATATTAGCTTTATCAGCGCTAGACAATGAGCGTGGCTTAGGCAAATTAAGAGTTTCGGATGAAATTTTTTGCCACAACGAAGAATTTTTAAATACACCTCCGTCACTGATCCTTCCTTGACTGCCAATGTTGGCATACATCAATTTATAATTACAGTCCACTAAAGCCAATAGTACTATACTGTTTTCTTATAATTGAAGTACTCAGAACCCGAATTGTCTGGACATTGTATAATAATATGCTTTCCATCAATTACACCAACAGCATGCGGGAAATTATTTTTAAATCCGTTTTCAACTTCTAACCACTGCTGCTCATTGACTGGCATCTGAAATACAAATAAAAATTTATACCCATATTGCGTTTTTTTATTTCAGGACACTGCAACTGTTCCTAATGAACTTGAAGAGGAAAATGAGGCCGCCGAATCAACAGATTCTTCGATTCCACCAGATACGCTTAATTCATGTGAGGCACTCGATCCAACACCAACGCAAAATAGGACTATCCGGCGTCGTCTCAACCCACCAGAATTACAAATTGCCAGCAAACAAATGTCTGAGGCATTTAACAATTTAAATAAAATGATTAACAAGCAAGATGTTGTTGAAGATGAGTGTGACATATTTGGCAAACTGATTGCCAAAAAATTAAAGAAGATACCTGAACATGAAAGGGAAGAAATAATGTTCGACATTCATGCCTTATTTCGAAGACCACGTAGTTTTGAAAGATCATCTGTTGATTCATTACGTTCCCCTACACCAACTTGTAGAAATTATCCTAATGTCACAATGACTTCTCCCAGGCCACACTCATCATTTTCAGAGCCTCACAACTCATTTGTACCATTTTCCGATGGAACTGACGGAAGACAATACATGTTACATATCCCGGAAACAAATGAAAATACTTTCCTTAATGAAAAATCTTCAATGGTTCACATTATAAGGGATGAAGTTGTTAGGCCAGCCGATAAAATTTCTTCGGTAACTAGCCCAACTACAATCCAAACTCGATTCGTCCCCTACCAAACGTCTTCTATGAATAATATAATAAATCAAGCATACTATAAATCTGAATAATACCCACTCATAATTTTAATTGTAATTTTAAATAGTAATAAGCTTAAATTAAATAAAATTATGTTCAAAAATTTTAAACATCTACCTTTATTTCATCCTTAAGAACGTCGTTAAGAGCTTTGCAAACATCAACTACTATTTTTGAAATTAACTGACTTGAAATTTTAAATAAATAGTGCAGGCTTTTAAAACTGTCGCCAGTTGCTAAAAATCTCAAAGTGACTGCTAAACGAATCTTGGCAGGTATAGCTTCCCTTAAATGAGTATCTTGCTTAGAGATAAGTGGCAGAACTTTGGAAAGCAAGTAATTAAAATCCGTCAAAGACATTCGATGGAAATTTTCGAATTCTCCAGATGGTTCTTGTATCAGTTCAACAAATTGTTGCTCCATACTATGTCTGCAAAAATATGAAATATAAATTAAAAATAGTCATAATAGTAATAATAATATGTGCATATATTTAGACTTTTCTACTTGTGGTAAAAGTTCTTAATTTTGCCTTGTTTACTAACCTAGTTCTGTTCCGGTGCATTGCAATCATCCACCATCTCCTTTTTCTCCATTTCTTTTTAATTTTTGTTGTATATAAAACACGCACGTAATTATAATACGCGAGCGAACACATTGCAACAGCAGCTGCCTCTTGAACGTTATTCATGTTACGGGTACGGGAGACCCAAGACGACTGAGCTCTTCGCGAAGTAGCACGAGTGTGTGGTTACGTACTTCGGCTTCGATGGACTTCGACGAGCACTTCGTCGAAGTTACTTCGCGAGTAGTGTAGAGGAAGCATAAGGTTTTATCATCAAAGCTTTCGACGATTTTACATGCAACTTGATTACTAAAAATTTGAAAAAACGGTTGACCCTGCAGGCCATCCCTAGCTTATTTTCGAGCGCAACGCTTGAAAATCTATTTAATTTATGTTTTTTTAAAAGCCGTGTCGCCGATTGGTTGATTCGTTCTAAAGATATCGTACAACAAAATTTTATTTACATACATATATCAGGCGGGAATAGTCGGAACGGCTTCCTAGGACTTCAAAACGCGGAGATCTGATGAAAACTCGCATTTCAAAATCGGACCGAGATCTATAACTTTCTACTTTTGAAACTTATTAATTTTCAAAGCGGGAAGTTAAAAAGAGAGTCGACAGCCCGATAGCGCAGTAGCTGAGCGTTTGGTGGCGGCGTTGCAGGGCCGCAGGTTTGAACATCGCAAGGAACATGATGTGTTTATATAACGTACAACTACAAGTGTTGGTACAGCGCATGATGTTGGTACTTGTGCAATTTATTCTGTAAAGTACCTCCACGATACCGTAGAAAAACCTAGTATTTTTAAAAACAAAACAAAATGACTTGTGATACTCCAATGATTTCGTATCCTAACTTCATTTCTGAATAATGTGATGACGAGCAAGTAGTCAAATTAAAGTGATCTTTGAACAGTTTCTACATTTAATATTAAATAATCACCAAACGTTTATAGATTTTACAAGGTTTCAGGGTTTATTATTGTGCTATAAACTTATGAATTAAATTAGCCCCGGCGTTGCGTGTATTAAAAACAACACTACCTATTATGATGTAAAAGTTAAAAGTTCATTAGGCTTACGTAAATTTCTTCAATCACGATTTTTATCGGGGAATGAAAGTTCACTCATACACACACACACACACACACTTATGTTACCTAAAATCATCTCCAACGATACGTAATAGCAGTAACTAATGGAAAAAGTAAGTCATTAATCAACCGACGTAACAAATCTTTAATTAAGCATTAACGATACCCAATATTAATTTTCTATAAAATATTAATATCAAGCGTTTTCTTTGTATTTTACGAATCATTTGAAAGTGTTATAAATATGTTTAGGCTAAATGAAAAGAAAGTGTTCCTACTGGATAACTGGATACAAGGAAAATATGCTGCCAACTTTTTTTTTTGAAAGTGTATTTTTTGCGGCCTTTACAAGTTTATTGTAATTAACTCATAAGCGAGGACTTACGAGCTATTGAGTGCGCCGATTTAAGGGCTCCTCAGAACGAGATACGAACCTCGGCTTGAACCACTATCAAAATAAGGGAAACGAATCGTAAACTAAAAACGCCCCGTATCACGGGTATTGAACCTCTTGTACGGCGTGTATCTGTAACCTCGCGTTCGCCGGCGAATGTTTGTATTAGGATGAACTTATTAAGGGTAGTAATCTCATTATCGGGATCAAGAAGAACGTTCTTTGGACGTCTCCTGAGTTCCAACGCGTTCTGTGGCTTCATATATTGGGAACATGATTTCATGAGTGTTGGAGATGGTGCGACTGAATGCGCCTGACGAAAGCGCGGGGCGTCGGCGGCGGCCGTCGTTACTGGAAGTGCCACACGCGCGCACTGCACTGATGCAGCAAGCACCGTTCACGCGCGCGCTGCGTGTGATCAACACCATGTCGGAGCGAACTGATTTATTTTCATGTTCGCTGAGTGAGCTCAGTAAAATGGCATATCATACTGTATCGTTGGCTACACTGTCGAATTAGGGTACTCACCCTGTAATGATTGTGTATGTTGTATGTGTGTGTAAATAAATAAATAAATAAAATAAATCTTGAGTTTGACAACATTTAAGTACAATTCGGTAAGACAAATCATTACCTACGGATGCAAAATGTGGGATTTAATATAATTGCATACTCCAACTATCCAAATAGCCAAAATGAAGATGCTGCGTTAGTTGTATATAGTCACGAAGCTAGACAAAATTCGTGCACGGCAGCCTCGGTGTCTGCGATTGCAATGTTACTATGGTTTTACAGGAAACCAGATGCAATGTTTTGGCCACGTTGAAAGGAGACAATCGGATTATATTAGCAACACAACGCTCGATCTCAGCATTTCTGACGAAGCTAAGGTGGTTGAGTGTTGTGAAAAATTATATGAAGACAGAACTGCGATCCGGAAACGATGTTCAAGATAGGGCAAGTGGATGACACGGTGCAGGAAAGTGTAATAATATGGAATAAGTGTTAGGATGAAAAAGATATCTTAACATGAGCCAATGCGAAAAATATTTTAGTCACTGCATCTCATGCACAAATAAAGGCTCCTTTGCGCGTATACTTTTACTGACCGGTAGCTGTAACCAAATTAATGCGTTCTCGGTTGTATGCGGAGTCCCCAAGGAACTGACTTATAAGTTTTTTTTTTTTATAGGATAAGGGTGACAAACGAGCACACAGTCCACATGATGGTAAGTGGTTGCTGCAGCCCATAGACATCTACATCTATCCTCGGTTGCGAATCAAAATGCAGATGCGTTGCCACCCGTGAGGACTAAGATGGAATGCCTCATTTCCAGTAAAAAGGGCCTCCGGCCACCTGCACTCACCAAGCGAAACGCAGAGGTAAACCTCTACTTCACGCTGGTATTCTGTGAGGTCGTGGTACCACCCCGGTTCAAGCCGGCCCATCCGTGCGACAGCAGAAGCTGCCGCGTGGCTCTACCACTGTTAACTGTTAAGTTGAGAACTGACAACCGTGCGAGTGGCTCCAGTGTCTATGGTCAGTTTACACGGCATTCCGTTGACGTCGCCCTTGATGATTAGGCTGTTCCCATCATGGGTTTTTAAGATCGAAATCCTTGGGGCTCTTTTAACATCAGCCAGCACCCGCCCCGCAGTCCTGGCTTTTACTCCTTTCCCTGCTGCTGTTGGGCGGTGCTATTAGTCGCACTACCCTATCGAGATCGATCATCTTCCCTTTCTACAGTTCGCTTAGGGCAGCTGGATCGAAAATGGCCCCTTTCCCCACAGCCGTAGCACCTAGGGCTGATCCTTTATTGCGGTGGCGAACTGTAGCTGCTACAACCTCCCTGATGCAATGGGAACGATGATCCTTACGCACGGCTTCCACCTCCAGTGCATGGGTCAAGGCGTCCTTAAGCGTCTCGTGGTGCCCGAGCCTCACAGCAGCTCTGACTTCAAGGTTTTGGATGCCGGTGATGAATGTCTGCACCAGGTTCCCTACAATGAGCGCAGGTACAGACTGGTATGCTTTTCGAACCAGCTTCTCCGCCTCAAGAGCCCACTGCTGCAGGTTTTCGTTACTGCGTTGCACGCGATCTTTGAGCTGCGCACGAAAGACGTGTTCCAGGGGAGCGTCACCATATCAGTCGGAAGTCATTTAATGAATGGGCGACAGTAGGAGTCCATAAAAGCAGACATAGGTTATATGATCTTTACCATGAAAGGTCATATAATCATAGCGTCGAATTTAGGGAATATGTGAAAAAATATTCAAAAATATTTAAAAGAGTGTGCTCCACAGCCAAGTCTTTGCATTTGAGCTACAAAATTAAGACGGCTTCTAATAAAATTAATATGTCATGGAGTATAATTAATAGCGAAACTGGTAAGATCAACTCTCGGAATTCAAACTACCAGTTAAATGTTAATAACAAATTAACCGAATCAAATCAGGACGTTGCAATGGTTTTTCAGAAATATTTTACTGATATTCCGATATTAACCACTAAGTCACTGAATTCTTCTCCTGCCGTCGCCGAATCATTACTTAAACAAAATGGAAATGCGTGTTCAAAGAATTTTACATTTCATAAAGTATCATCAAAAGATATTGTAAAATATTTTAAAACTATTGATGTTAAGAAAACTGCGGATCTGTGGGGGATTTCCATTAAAGTTATTGCGTCTATAATAGATACAATCGCGTCTCATTTAGCTATTATTTTTAATACTAATATCGAATCTGGTGTGTTTCCTAATTTAATGAAGTATAGTAAAGTAATACCTTTATTTAAATCTGGTAGTACATTAGACCCCGCCAATTTTAGACCTATTTCTGTACTACCTCCACTTAGTAAGATTTTTGAAAAAATTATTCTTGATCGAATGTTAAATTTCTTTAATATAAATAATTTACTTCATAAAAATCAATTTGGTTTCACAAGAGGTCGCTGGACAACTGATGCCGGTGTTGAGCTTATTAAATATATCTTTAATGCATGGGAGAAATCACAGGATGCTTTGGGTATATTTTGTGACCTATCCAAAGCCTTCGAATGCGTTCACCATGAAACATTAATCAGGAAACTTCAACACTACGGTGTAAGAAGTGATGCTCTTAAATTAATTATTTCATATTTAAGTAAGAGAACACAAAAAGTTGTCATTAACATTGTGAGTTATTCCGGGTCGATGGTACAAATGGGCGTGCCTCAAGGCTCAATTCTCGGCCCCTTTCTGTTTCTTATATACATTAATGACTTACCTTACATAGTAGGAGATAACCATGATATAGTATTATTTGCAGACGACACTTCTTTAATTTTCAAATTAACTCGACAATTGCTAAAATATAACGAAGTAAATAATGCTATATCTAAATTAGTAAATTGGTTCAAGGTTAATAATTTGCATCTAAATGGCACTAAAATGAAATGTATGAAATTCATGACTCCAATTGTCAAACAATTAAATACTAATGTAATTTTAAATGGGGAGAATCTGAGTTTTGTAGATACCACCATTTTTCTTGGAATCACACTAGACGCGAAGCTTCAATGGAGCCCCCATATATGAAAACTAGCAAGCACACTTAGTTCTGCAGCATATGCCGTAAAAAAGATTAGAACTCTAACTAGTGTTGAAAAAGCTAGCCGAGTTTATTTTAGCTATTTCTATCTATAATATTAAAGAATTTATAGATATAAATTATAGATGATACCACTTAAACAGTGGTAGAGCCACGCGACAGCTTTTGCTGTCGCACGGATGAGTCGGCTCGAACCGGGGTGGTACCACGACCTAACAGAAAACCAGCGTGAAGTAGAGGTTTACCTCTGCGTTTCGCTTGCGAGAGTAGTCCTCACGGGTGACAACGCATCTACATTTTGATTTGTAATAGAGGATAGATGTCGATGTCTATGGACTGCAGCAACGACTTACCATCATGTGGACTGTGTGCTCGTTTGTCACCCTTATCCTATAAAAAAATGATATTAACCCCTTTAAATGAGATGATCGCTACCAAGCTATTTCTAACTTGTTGTGTTGTTAATATTTTGTAACATACATGATTGTAAGCTGTTATTTAAAAAAAAAGTCCCGCTGGGTTTCTTGCTGGTTTTTCCCTGGACAGAGGTTTTTTTTCGAACCAGTGGTAATTATACAAAAGAATGACTTTTTATTTTTTTTTATTTTAAAAAATTTTCAATAACTATTATTTATAATCTATATTGAATAAAAAAGTTTCTGTTTCTGTTTCTGTTTTTATCTCGCTTCCAATGCCTATAGGAGCTGCTCGTAAGTCATTTCCTTACCGAGAGCTTCTAGAACAGTTAAGGCCTGGTCGCGCAGGCCTAGGGTGAGTGCAGTCATGGCCTGACTTTTATTCCAGCCGTTCGCCTTCATGACAGCCTCGAATTGGATTTTGTAGGCCAACCAGGAAGAAGTACCGTCGAACGGCGGCACTTTGAATCCGCGTAGCGAAGGTGTTGTAGCTACCACGGGACCTGTAGCTACCACGGGAGCTGTAACTTCATACCCAAGTTTGAGTTCGTCCCACGTTTTCTTCACGTCAGCGATCACGTTGTCAACCCGATTTTACACTTGGTCGATTCGGGTTTCAGCTTCCGACAGGCGGTTTTCATGTTGAGCAACCCTATCCTTCACCTCCCTTATCTCTTTCCCGAAGGTAGTGGGAAGGTCCTTCATGAGGAGCATATGCTCTTCCTTATCGCGTTTGAGCTGCTCTTCCAAAAAACGGGCCTGTTCCTCCTGTCAGCGCTGCAGCTGCTCTTCCAACCGACGGGCCTGTTCCTCCTGTCCGCACTGCTGCTGCTCTTCCAACCGACGGGCCTGTTCCTCCTGTCGGCGGGCCTGTTCCTCCTGTCGGCGAGCCTGCTCCTGCAGCATCATCATCATAGCGCCTAAGTCAGGTGCTGCAGATGCAGGAGCGGCTGACGGGCCGGCCTCCGTGGTCATCAGCTGGCCCTCCAACGTTTGCGGCGTTGCATTACCAAGTCGTCTCTGGTCCATCTCCAGCTGACGTTGACTTCGGGTACAGATACCCTCCATGTCGTCCTTTGGTAAAATCGGCATGATTTGATCCCACTTCTGACACCAATTGTTACAAGCTTGGGGTTCGAGACAATTAAAAACTGACGATTGAATTACCAAAATTGACACTTTAATTACAGAACACACAATGGTACTACTGATCACTTTAGTTCGCAATTATTTCGCTTGGAAGTATTCACTTGTATCGCCAATTCAATACTGACCCGGTCGTGGTCTATACCGGCCTTATATAGGGCCTCAGATAGTTTCCAGAACCTTGTACTGTAGAAACATTTAGAATGTTCGAGTACATATCGGTCCCAAAATTTCTAGGAGGGAGGATCTTGACCCTCCTAGTTCTGCTACTCGATACTAGAGGGCGCTTGTGGTAACTAGTGTTGCCATGTACAAGACATTAATAGTGGCGCGCAACAGAATTATTATAGTGTCGCTTCCACTGCCTTACCGTGACCGAGACCGCGGTAAAAGTGGACTTGATAACCAGTATGTCCTGGGCCATCTTAGTGATGGTGGTGAGCGGGTTTGTTGTAGCAATACGGTTTTCCTGTGAAAATCGCGCACCAAATGTGGGCTAGCCCATGGCGTTATGGTACCTAGTCGGCTATCTTTCGGATTAGGAAGTGTGTTTGGTAGCACTTTTAAGTTGTAACGGGCATTCTCAACTCCATGTCTTAGTGCAATGGACCTATGATACATTAACATTTGGTTACTGGCGTATAATAACATTTAGAAGAAAACAACCTATTCCACTTTGATCATTAGCAATATTACCATTATTTCAATCAATAGGATACGATCTGATCAAACTCTCTTTATTACAATAGATCGTGGAGTATACCTACTGGGGACACCACGTTAAAAAAATTCGCCAAATACATTACCTCATAGGTGGTGCGGAAATGTGTGCATATTATGTAAAATATGAATTTTCTAATTATTAAAACCGCGATATCTCACGGATGAAGAGACGTGACGTTAACGTAAGAGAAAAAGTGACTGGACCACTTTTGTAGAGAATTATATGATCTACAACTTTTGTCTAACCTATTTTCACGATAAAACTTACCGTTTTCGAGAAAAATGGAAAAAACCTTAATTTTGTAAGTTTGACCTTCAATAATTTTTTTGCAGAAGTAGGATCTAAGGGGATTTTTGACATTTCATTTATAATGATGTATTTAACGTCTCTGCCAGTTTTCAGCTCTATGCGAATTGTGGTAGTTGCAACTTAAAGTCTTTCTTTGTTAATTTAATCAATATAATCAAGACAACAAGTTAAAAAGTTACTAATTATAATATTTTCTTCATGTCTTAAAACATGTTTTCGTTACTTTTTCATTTTTAAATATCATGGATCAAAGTGAGAATAAAAAGTAATATATATATATATATATATATATATATATATATATATATATATATATATATATATATATCTTTATATATAAAAATTACGTGTCACGTTGTTTGTCCGCGATGGACTCCTAAACTACTGAACGGATTTCAATGACATTTTACACAATGTGTGCATTTAGGTCCAACTTGAAAAATAGAATAGTTTTTATTCCGATAAATGCCTCAAAATTTTTTATTGCAAATTTAAGGATTTTTATAGGAAGGGTCGGTGGAAAGGGCAGAGCAACGTCTGCCTGGCGAGCTAGTATATTTATTTTATGTATATCTCTAACTAATAACCTACTTGAATATACAACATCCTCCCCACACAGAAAAATATGAAAGTAGAGACGATATAATATAATTTAAAATACTTTAACATAACATGTAATCGAATTAAGTTAATTTTAAACGTATTCACACATTCATTACAAATATGAATTCAACCCTATTTTAAATAATTTTTAATGTTAATTAAAGAGCAGTATTTTAAATAAACATTCCTAACTAATTGACAAATGCATTTCGTCACCTTAGTGTAAGAATCTTCTTGGAACATTAATTACTCTACCATGTCTAGTACTAATAAAATATGTTTGAGTTATATCAGATGATATTATGTCAGAATTCAAAGTAGTCTGGCGACTATAATCCTTAGTGTTAGGGTTAGTCACTGTCTTACTTCTATTAGTAGATGAGCTGGCCCTGTGCCATTCGTTTGTAACTGTTGTTAATTCCAGTGGGTAAAGACTTTGTATAGCTCTAACTCATTCACTGGTAGCTGTCAGTACTTTTGCAACCCTACAATTACCTAATGACTGATATAACCGACTAGTGTCAGTTTCAATAAGAACAATATCGTTTAATTTGGGCAAATTTTGTTTACGTCTATCTTTACTACAAATTAGAGCAATATATTCGTTTCTAAAACGTTGTCGGTATCTGCACGTAATTTGTTTAAATATTATAAACGAATATTTATATTATTTACATCAATCAGATCTAAATCAGACATCTAACTGTTATCTAAGGGATGTAGAAACATCATTGGAGTAAGTGGTTTAAGAGAGTCAAAAGCTGTTGCTACGTATGTCAATGGTCGGCTATTAATGATTGATTCGCAGTCACAAAGTATTGTTGATAATTCAATCCGAGTTAAAGATTGTTTTCCCAAGATTCTTCTTAACATTTCCTTTACTACCTTTAAAAGGCGCTCCCACAATCCTCCCCACCAGGGCGCACGTGGAGGTACAAAACGCCACTTGATAGCTGGTGGAACTATGCTAGTTGCTGTTTCGACTTTTGTCCAATCAACCTCTTTTAATAAATTGGCTGAACCTTGAAAATTCGTACCACAATCAGTATATATAATGTTTATGCGGCCCCTTGGAGCTATGAAACGACGTAAGGCCATCAAGAAACTATTTGTGGATAAAGATTTCACAAGCTCTAGGTGAACTGCTTTATATGTAGCACAAGTAAATAATGCTATCCAACATTTCCTTTGGTCGCGGAGATATAGAGGCCCCGCTAAATCTATACCAGTTATCTGGAATGTTGCATTTGCCTCAACTCTGTTTGATGGCAATGGTGCTTCAGGAACCTCGTAATGTTTTGTCTTGTATCTCTTACATATAATACATTTAGACACAACACCTTTAACAAGACGTCTTAGGTTTAAAATCCATAAATTGTTTCTGAGGTTAGATAGCAAGAGCTGAGTTCCTCCATGATTTAATTTTTCATGTCTCTGTCGCATTAACCGCTGTACGATTTCGTTTTTCCTGGTAGAAGTATTGGCCTTACAAAATCCTTGTCTTCTTTACTCAACTCTAAACATGGTTTTACTCTTATCACCCCATCGGTATCTATTTCTGTATTTATATTATTTGCAACAAAAACCCTTCTGTAAAATTCTCTTTCTGTAATAATTTAATTAGTGTTCAATTTGCCGAAGGGTATGTACTCGTATGTGGTCTATGGTGCTAAAGCCTTTTCGGAAACCGGCTTGTTCGAGAGGCTGGAAGTCGTCAAGTCTGCGCGCGAGATGATTCGTAATGACTCTCGAAAACAGCACGTAGACGCGGCTCAGACGGGAAATCGGTCTGTAGTTCTTCAAGAGAGCGTAGTAACCTTTCTTGAAGAACAAGACCACCGCATTTCTGCTTCACATCTCCGGTTTAATGCCACCACGGAGGACGGAATTAAAGAGCTTCTGAAGGACTTCAAGTACCGGTTTTCCACCCGCTTCCTGAAGCTCCGCTGTAATTCCATCCTCGCCTGGGGCCTTGCCTTTTTAAGGTGCTAGAGAGCCATTCTAATTTCGCTCAGACTGACGTCCGGGATATCATCGGAATAGTGTCGGATAAGACTCGCTCTTGGATCGTTACTCACACTTGAGTGTGGCTCCAACGATGATATCCAAAGCTGCCCATAGAACCTCTCAATCTCACTCAAAATCTCAGGTGTCCCGGAAACGACGCTGCCACACTCGGTCTTCAGCTGTTGCTACGTATGTCAATGGTCTCGACAGTTAGCTCTTTCTGGCAGACAGATATCTAGCAAAGACTTTGAAGCCCTGGTTCCGCTCAATCGCTTCTTTAATACGAGCAGTATTAAAGTTGCGTAAGGCCCGCCGCATTTATTTGGAGATCTGTCTATTCAGTTGCCTGTATGCTGTCAAATCTACTGAAGACTGCAGCTTCATATCCCATCTAACAGCCATGAGATTAAGAGTGTGATCGGAGAGATTTTGTGTTCTTCTGCCACGGGTCTTGCAAAACTTAGCTCCGACCGCATGGACAGTTTCCACGAGCTTGTCATTCATATCGTCCACTGCATTGCAATCTTCTAGGCGCTGAAAACGATTTCGTAGTTCGAGCTGAAAGGTTTCGGGACTTTGGATTAGAGCACGTAATTGGCACACGGATTTGGTGCGTAAAGCTGTTTGACCTTCAGCAAATACCGTTTGGTTATTCTGAGTATAAGGTACGCAACCTTCGTCGACACACTCCCAATCTTTACAACTTTGTTAACAAGAGACTTGTGGACGATAAATCCGACACCTCCTTGGGACAGATGGTCGCCCTCCCGGTGATAGAACAAGTTGCCGGATTCAAGGATTACCATGTCCTCCCCCTCTCTTCGAACCTCGGATATATCCTATAATATTCCAGCGCAACTTGTCTATCTCTTCTTCCAGCTCCAGGATCTTCTCGTCAGTCCTCAGGGTGCGTGCGCTATAATTTGCCAGGTCGCGTCGTCGTATGTGGCAACCGAACATCCACCGGAGATTCTTAACACCCCCTGCCCCGCCGTTACCATGGTCACCATCGTAGCCAGGAATAGCGGGGCCGCCGGGCACTGGGGGCCGTCTCTTCGTTACTTTCATGGGGGGTATATTTCCATAGTTGCCACGCTTGCCGAGCGGGTTGGCAACCGCAGTTTTTTATTGATTTTTTGCTCTTATCAGAAAGATGCTGCTGCCCATCCTCTGCCTCAGTTTCCCTCTGTCGCCTCTTACGACACCCACGCGAAGATATGGGGTAGTAAGTATTCTTACCCACCACTACACGGGGCATTTATATTAATCTTGGTCTTTTTGGTGACTTCTGTTTCTACAATCTCTTCATTGGCATTAATAATGTTTGATTTTGGCCCCTCTTTCCATAACAATGAGACTTCATAGCGCCCTTGTGTATTTACTGAAATTTTATCATTGAAAGATTTCATAACCTCGACTTCAGAATCCTTTTTAGACTTATTTTCATAAGGATCTCGAATTCCCAATAACTCAATACTCCACAAATCAGACAGATTTGTTTTTGAAAAGTATGTAGTGCTTGATGTATTGACTGTACTTTGAACTTTTATTGGTCCTCGTAATGTCCATCCTAACTTGGTATTAACAGCCATCAGGTTACCTAAACTAACCATTTAATTATGTATAATGGATCCTAAGTAATCCGACCCAATCAAGAGACTTATCTCAGTATATGTATAATCAAAATCACTGATCACAATATTCAATTCCGTAACTTCTCTAATATTTTTTCATTATTAACTTTTGGCAGGTGCCCACATAAATCAGACTACTGTAATGCATTGATTCTAACAGAAACCCTATTGTCTAAGCTACTTACCAAAACATCAAAGCATTTATATACCTTGGCAGGCTGATCCACACCGCCAAATAATGTGTGAACTATTATTTCTGTGCCAGTCTCATGCAATCCTAATTCTTCAACAACTTTGACTTTTACATACGACTTTTGCGAACCACTGTCTAACAAAACTCTCACCTTATTGATTTTTCTTTGATAGGTGATATTGACACATAACGAAACATTTTCCAATGTTCCACTCTTTTCTTTCTTATGAATTTTCGGACATAAAATCACAAATTGTCTTTTTTCACATGATAAACATCTAACAAAACTTTTACATTTATTAGTCATGTGACCTTTTTAAGACATATGTAGCAGCAACCTTTCTTTTTTATTGCCTCCTTTTTATCCTCTATTAGCTCTACTACATTCAAAAGAAGTATGACTGCTTTTGTCACAAAAACAGCAAATAACTTTGAATACTTTACCTGACTCCTTTGGTTTTATGTTCGACACTAACGATGCTGCTGTTTTTTGTTCCTCGTGGAGAGTGTGATTAGTACCCATACAAATAAAATCAGACCTTGCTAAATTAATTCGCTCTTCTGTTTCTACTTCGTTTTTAAGAAAATTTAATAAATTTGTCAATTGATTACCAAGAGGTGGATCAGTGTTACATCTATTCCAAGCAATAAGAATTGTTTCGGGAATTGCTGATTTTACAAGGTGAATAAATTCATATTTCTGTTTAACAATACCTAACGTTTCTAAAGACATCAAATATTATGTTGAAATTTTGTCATATAATAGTCTAGTAGATACTTGTTTTTCATTATTGTTTAAAACTAAACTTAATAATTCCCTAACATAAACCTGTATGAGAAGATCCTCCCGTCCAAATCTTGCCTTGAGTTGTTCAATAGCCTTTGTATAATTTTCAGCAGACGGAGGAAATCTTTCCACCAATACTCGAGCGTTACTATCTTCCTTCAATGGTTGAAGGAGGTACTGATACTTATCCTCTCCAGACAATGAGTGGTCTTCATCATTTTTTTTTAAATTGGCCGCAATAAGCTAACCTGTTCTTCAGGTCATCATCAAATTTCTTTAGCTCATACTTAGGTAAATTGAATTCCTGACTGGCTTTACATCTTCAACCGTATCAAGTGGATTTTTTGACGACATACCTGTCTTTCTCTGATTGTTAATTGTGTGCCATCTGTATTTATACGTATCCGCTGTATCAATTTCAATGCTGAAGGATTCTTCATCATAACTGTCGCTTTCTAACATGCGGTATTGTATTATTTTATCTAAAGCTTCTAATCGCTTAACCTTACTCTTAAGAAATTCAATGTCGATCATCACTTGCGAGAAATTTTCGACTTTTATATCAGCTTCCAGCTTCGTCGCTGTTCGGTTGAAAATTCTTCTTAGTTGCTCTCGCTCCCGGTTGTCTTTAATCTCCGCTCCAGTCTCCATTTTTATTTAATATCAAATCAAGTCAAAAAATCAACTAATGAAGATCAATCAACTCAAATCCTCCAAACTATTTATTTTATTATAATCTTAATCAGACCTACTTATTTGACCACGAAATACAGCGGATATTCCGGACTTTTAATTAAAGACTTTTTCTTTGTTAATTATTTTAATCAATATAATCAAGACAACAAGTTAAAAACAGTTACTAATTATAATATTTTCTTCATGTCTTAAAACCTCTTTTCGTTACTTTTTCATTTTTAAACATCATAGATCAGTCAGAATAAAAAGTAATGTATAAAAAGTATATTATGTATAACCAAAGGCAATAGCTGCCAGTATTTTTCTCTGACTAATAACCTACTTGAATCTACAACAAGGATTTTGGCTAAGTTATGACTTATTTTTGTCTACTTTGACTGGACTATTATTATTATTATTATAACTAACAAAGTGTATATAAAAGTGCTTCAATTGCTATCCAATATTAAAAGCAGTATACGAAACCTATCCGACTGTAGAGAGATCATGACGGTACCGTAATACGTGTAATCGTAGGTTTATCCTCGCAATTCTTCACCGCTGTATTTGAAAACGTTTTCATGTAACTGGACTGGAACGGATATGGTATCAACACTAATGGTGAAAACATCACTCACCTTCGATTTGCCGACTATATAGTCATAGTGCGGAATCACTAGAGGGACTCAACACTATTCATTCAATGACCTTTATAATGTTTTCTAACGAATTGATATTAAGATGAACATGGCCACGAAAAAGGACATGTAATGTCCATGTCACATGTATGCTGGTAATTTTTGGGAGTACTTCGCTAAAAGTTGTTCACGAGTGAAGTGAAGTGAGAATGTTCACCTCGAACTAATTATCCTATTAGGTAGTGAAACTCTTGTTTTGTATACAACCAGTGTGTGTTGCCGATAATGACATATGGATCTAACACGTGGTCCTTCACTGCTGGCCATATTAGTAAATTGAAGGTTGCCTAGCAAGCTATGGAGAGAGCTATGCTCGGAGTTTTTCAAAGTGATAGACTTCATAATAAGGATATCCGCAGTAGGAACAGATTTGTCGACAAAGCCCAACGAATCTAAGCTGAAATGACAATGAACCGGCCATAAAGATTGAAGAACGGAGAACCGATAGG